GAGTCGCCGCTCCAGGCTGATAAATGCGGTATACAAATGGAGTAAATAAATAAATAAATAAATAAATAAAAGCGCAGTTTGATGAACTCCGTGGGGGAGGACTGGCTGGCGGGCCGCGCACGGCTCGTGCTATCGTCCCTGAGCGCTTTATCGGAGATAAAGATGGTTTGCCACTGTTTTTGATGCAGACCGAAGTTTATTTTAAGCAAGTGCCTGCAACTGCTTATGCTACAGATGAAAGCAAAGTGGCTTTTGTGATCAGTTTGCTGTCTGGCCGAGCGGGTAAGTGGGCAGTAAATCTGGTTAATAGCAATAGCCCCTTACTGCGCAATTATGCTGGCTTTTTGGACGCTCTTAAGGAGATGTTTGGAGACCCTCTCCAGGAAGAGAATGCCAGCCGTGAGTTACATGCTATCCGGCAAGGGAAAGAATGTGTGTTGGACTATTTGAATCGTTTCAACCATCTGAAACAGCACTTGGACTGGGGCGAGAAAGCTTTTATGACTTGCTTCACAGCAGGGCTTGCTCCAGCTTTAAAAATCGAATTGGCACGCTTTGAACCTCCTGACACCTGGGAGGCTTTGACTAAAACGGCTCTTCGACTGGAGAGGAGACAGAACATGCTGAGGAAGGAGGGCTATTTCCAGCCGCAGTTCCAGTCTACCCCCTCCCCTCAAGTCACCGCCGCTGCTGTCTGTTCCAGTCTGGATTCCGAGGAGCCCATGCAGCTGGGGAGTCAACGCCGGTTATCCAGGGAGGAGAAGCAGAGACGGCGTCAGCTCAATTTATGTTTGTATTGCGGAGCGGGGGGCCATTTCGCCCGCAGTTGTCCGGCCAAGGCTCCCAGGGAGCAGGGAAAAGGCCAGCCCTAATGTGCACTGGGGCAAGCACATTAGGGCCAGCGGTTCAGTGGCCCCGGTGTAAAGACCATGTGTTTTTACCCATTGAACTCTGTTCTAACCAAGGCAATAGGTTCTCCACTTGGGCCCTAGTGGACTCTGGGGCAACCGGGTCTTATATGGACACAAGCTTCGCTATGGACCATCATATTGTGTTACAAAGGAAGCGCCAGCCAGAGTGGGTGGAAGGAGCAGATGGTGCTCTAGTGGGCCACCGGTCTGTTACTATGGAGACTGGGCCCCTGAGGTGGGAGGCTCAAGGTATAGAGGGTCGGTTTTCCTGGGATGTGATTAACTTGCCTAGGTATACCATCATCCTAGGCATGGACTGGCTGTCCAAGATTAATCCCAGAATAGACTGGCAAGCCAAGACCATTACCTTAGCACCACCTGTATGTGGAACGTTGGCAGTAAGTCCAACGGATGTGGAAGGTGTTCCTGAATGCTATAAAGACTTTTATGATGTGTTTAGCAAGGTACAGGCTGACAATCTTCCACCCCATAGGCCTTATGACTGCCAGATAAAGTTGATGGAGGACGCCAAGTTGCCTGCGGGCAGGCTTTACGCTTTGTCTCTTCCAGAACGCCAGGCCTTGAAGGACTACATTGAGGAGAATCTGGCCAAAGGGTTCATCCGTCCGTCCAGTTCTCCCACGGCGGCTCCAGTGTTCTTCGTGTCCAAGAAGACGGGTGATTTACGTTTAGTTTGTGATTATCGTATTTTGAATAAGTTTACCATCCGGGACCGTTATCCGTTGCCTTTGATTCCTGAGTTATTGTCTCGTGTTCAGGGCGCATCTGTTTTTTCGAAGTTGGATTTAAGGGGCGCCTATAATTTGCTCCGGATTAAGGAAGGCTACGAGTGGAAGACCGCCTTCAACACTTATCTCGGGGCTTACGAATATTTAATCATGCCTTTCGGATTATGTAATTCGCCAGCTGTGTTTCAACGCTTAATGAACGATGTGTTTAGAGATTTATTAGATAAATTCATGGTTTGTTATCTCGATGACATCTTGATCTACTCAAAGGACCTTCGGCAGCATCGAGAACATGTGAGGACGGTGCTGCAGAGGCTTCGGAAACACGGTCTGTTCGCCAAGGCTTCTAAGTGTGTTTTTCATGTCCCGGAGGTGGAGTTTCTGGGACACATAGTCTCTGGGCGGGAGGTGAAAATGGACCCGCATAAGGTGGACGCTGTCCAGTCCTGGAAGGAACTCGCCTCAAAGAAAGATGTGCAACGTTTCCTAGGTTTTGCTAATTATTATCGAGACTTTATTCCCCATTATGCAGAAATCACCGTGCCGCTGACTCGCCTCCTGAAAAAGGACCACCCATTCGTATGGACTAAGGAGGCTCAGAGAGCATTCGAGACCATCAAATGCAGTTTCGCTGATGGGAGAGTCCTGTGTCAACCAGATGTGGACCGTCCTTTTGTGGTTGAAGCTGATGCCTCCAACTACGTGTTGGGAGCTGTCCTGTCCCAGTTAGACTCCAAGGGTATCCTTCGGCCTTGTGGCTTTTACTCTCGCCAATTGTCTCCCTGTGAACAGAACTATACAATTTGGGAGAAGGAGTTACTGGCGATTAAGGTTGCCTTCGAGGTTTGGAGGCACTGGCTCGAAGGTGCCAGGCACCAGGTGGTGGTGCGGTCTGATCACCGTAACCTAGAACATTTGCTAACCGCTCGCAAATTGAACCAGCGCCAAATTCGTTGGGCTATTTTTTTTAGTCGTTTTGATTTTCGTGTTGAGTTCATTGAGGGGAAAATGAACTTGAGGGCGGATGCTTTGTCTCGGAAATCTGAATATAAGACTGATGTGGCACCCGTCCTGCAGACTGTGTTACCTACAGCGGCTCTCAATTTAATGGAGGGTGCGGGTGATCTTTGTGACCAGGTCAAAGCAGCGCAAGCTGAGGACATTTGGACTCAAGAACAGCTCACCTTGTTAGCAAATGGCCAGAAGTCTGTACTCCCTAATCTTCGCAATGAGGGTGGGATTTTGTTGCGCAGAGAGCAGCTCTACGTTCCTGCAGGTAGTTTACGCCTTGAGATTCTTAGATCCCACCATGATGAACCGGCTGCAGGTCATTTTGGGAGGTTTAAGACCGTGCAACTAATCACTAGAAATTTTTGGTGGCCAAAAATGAGGCAGGACATTTTACAGTACTGTGACAGTTGTGCCGTCTGCCAGCAATGTAAACATGCTCCTGGAAGGCCTAGTGGCCTGTTATCCCCTTTGCCGGTGCCTGAGAGACCTTGGCAGGTCATTTCTATGGACTTCATTACTGATCTCCCCAGGGCACGGGGATACGCCTGTATTTGGGTAGTAGTGGACTTGTTTTCTAAAATGGCTCATTTTGTTCCGTGTGCGAAAGTTCGCACAGCACCTGGGTTGGCCCAGCTCTTTATGAAGCATGTGTTTAAGTTACATGGGGCTCCGGACACTATAATTTCAGATCGCGCCCCTCAGTTCGTGTCGCGATTCTGGAAGCAGTTCCAGGCCCAGATGGGCACGAAGCTCAATATCTCTTCTGCTTTTCATCCGCAGACTGATGGCCAGACGGAACGTGTGAATGGCCTTTTGGAACAGTATTTGCGTTGTTTTTGTTTACAGCAAGCTGGGGATTGGGTGCAGTGGCTTCCTGTGGCTGAATTCGCCTACAACAATGCTACCCATGCCGTCAGTCGCCATTCCCCTTTTGAGTTGGTTTATGGTATGCAGCCTAGGTGGGGGTCGGCTCCGGTGCATGACATTGTTTCCACGGACCCTGTGTACCGTTCTAACGAATTTCTTGCTTTGCATGATGTTGCCCGGCGTATTCTTGTGGAAGCTAAGGATGCTCAGAAAGCACAAGCTGATAAACATCGGCAGGCGGGTGCTGAGCTCCAGGAGGGGGATTTGGTTTGGCTCTCTTCCAAGCATCTCAAGCCGTCTGGGGGCAAGTTTGCGCCTCGTTATGTGGGACCCTACCCTATTGTCAAGCAGATTTTGCCTGTGGCTTTCCGTTTGCGTTTACCTCCTTCTTTGAAAGTGCATCCTGTGTTCCATCGCTCTATGCTCAA